CACAGTGCCAGCCGCAAAGATGGCAAAACCAATAAGGACGAAGAAGAGGTAGTCCCAAGAGCCCAGAGTTTGGTGACACAGTGTCCGTAACTGGACGCCCACCTCACCCAGACGGCTGCCCTGGAGATCTGCAGGTGAGCCACACACTGTCTGACCTTCATCTGTCACAAATAAAACAATCAAAAAACAGAATACTTTAACGTCCTCCTCAGTAAACATGTATAAACCAGAGGCTATTTCTTCACACTAGGAGCTCCACTGCAGGGCTAATGTTAATGACATTGTGTTGATGTCATGTTAATGATTCACAAACTGCTGATAACCTCCACAAACCAGCAGCAACAAATCCTTTGATGTTACATATCAGAGCGCCCTTAGCATCAGAAATATTATGGCATTAAACGCTGCTGAATTATTCATGCATTCGGTACATATCAATGTGGAGAGCTTTAAAAGATGCATGAGTGCGTGCTCCTGTAGGTATTCAGAACTCATGCAAAATCCTAAAATGATTGCAGCTAGGTTTATATCCATATATTCAGTGCCTAGTAGCAGCATAGTGTTAGGGTGAATTATTTGCCTTCTCTTCTCACCACAACATTAAATAGTGATGTAGTCCATTGTGTCTGCCTCAAACTGGAGATGATAAGGTCCTGAATCACTGGGCAAACATGTCACCAATTCCCTCAGGAAAAAGTGTGGGTATGACTTTTAAAAAATACAGAAATTAGATGACTCTGTCTGAAGTCCATCAGTCAGAATGAAACATGATGGGTGCTGAGCTGAATCTGCCAACAAGACACTTCTAATTAAAATTATCACAAAGGAAAAACTATCACAAATTAAAAACTAAATATTTTTTGGAAGCAGACAGAGAATGATGCACCATCTCCATTGGGCCATTTATAATTGCCTTCTGATTTTCTAAGCTTTTGTGCTGCAGGGAAGTCCCGTGGGGACACACCACAAGACTGAACAGGCTCAAAATAAACACATTTTGTGTATAGTTTGCAATGATACATTATGTAAAATGGTGTGTACAAAGATAGATGGGGCCATATTAAAGAGGAATGGTCATTTCCCCACCTCCATGAGCAAAAAATTTGCTGCAGAAAATTATGAATATAAATATGGTTAAAATGTTACATAATGTTTATTTTTGCACAGTTGTCTTGTTTTGCTCCCTCTGAGAGAGAAAGCCCAGGCAGCTGGAGAACAGAGGGATGGTTTGCTGCTCTCAGTTCTGCTCCTGAAAGGAATGCTCTACCACAATCACAACAAAAATAGTGTCTGTGAGCCCAGGTTCACCCGAAATCTTGAGTTTCACATCATATTACATCATATAAATAATATAAAATGTATTATGACCTTTTTGCTCTTGTGTTGCCCATATTTATGTATGGTCTTCTCTGTCTGTTAGTTTTGTTTTATCTTTTCTAACGTCAGATTCATAGTACAAGGCTTCTCATTATGACCCTTTCCATTTATCCAAGTTTTACTTGGATAACTTTTACTTGGATTACTTTTACGGTCACAGACTGCCTAGATTAGTAATCCACAACATTAAACATTTATAACATGCCATGGCCCTATGTTTCTCTTATCCCAGAGTGTAAAATTACGTAAGAGGTATGTCCCTGTCAAATTTGCATCATTGGTCACGGACACCCCAACTCCTCGTTGGTCTCAGCTCATGTGCACGTTCCTGACAGCTATAGAGGAAAGCCCTTCTGGCTTAAAGCACCCCCACCCCCTTATAGAGACTGGCATCAAAGCAAAGGGCTTTCCTCTCTCCTCTCCCTATCCAGTGTGCTCTATTTCAGGACTCGCTCCTTATATAACAGCTGGGGGAGTGCTAATCTAACTAGGAAGACAAGATGGACGAGAATCTGTTGGTTCCTCTCCTTTCCTAAAGCCCTGTCTTACTCACTACTGATGCGTCTCCTAAACAGAGGAGACAGGCCAGTCAGCATCAGGTGAGACTCAGGATGAGAAATAACACAAAGTGAAGCCCATAACATTGAGTAATGCACAGGGTTGTTCTGCTTTGTACCGCCTGAGATGTTTTCATACAAATCTAAAAGTATGTGACAGTGGTTTAGTTCAAAAGTGGAACCCATATAATTTATAACATATGGTTTATATATGGGCTATTTCCCTCTATAGAAAAATGTGCGGTGATTTGCATATTTTAGCACAGTACACTTCAGGATACTATTCTTTCTTCAACTCTTCATCCAGTTAATAGTTGTTTGCAGCTTTGTATTTTGAGTTGGTGTAAGCAATATTGGCCAAAAATAATCAATATGTTAAAAATTTTGAATACACGATAGCTAATTTGCATTAACTATACTTCCAGAAAGACCAAACCGATTTATAGACACATACATTTTTGCATGTGTGAGGATCATTCTTTTTCTTTGGGAGCAGTGTCTCATCAGGGGGCTTCATCCTTTAATATTCTATGCAGATTTTTCTTTATTTGATCCTCATCAAAAAAAAAAAAAAGTTTTCTGTTTGAAAGAGGCACTACTGCCTACAAAACCAGACAAAGGGAACAGACCAGGGAGAAATAGGCCATCTCTTGTAGGATATGTTTTGAAATGAGCCAGAGCTGCAGAGGGATTTGTGCTGAGCCTTAAAGTGTATTGTAGGAGCAGGCTGGGGATGCCTTCTGAGAGCTTGCACGTATTATATTCATGGTGTCAGAATCATGACTGGCCTCTTGCTCACTAACACAAACTATAAATAGTCCATGGCCTTTGCGTAATGACAATCATACACCAAAGAGAAGATAAAAAGTGGGAAATACTGCAGAAAATCAAACACATGTATCAATTTGACAATTACCAAACAGCAGGGGAATCAATATCAGATGCTGCAGCAGTGATCATTTGTCAAAAAACAGTCAATATTTTCTTGGTTATTATTTTAAGATATTGGTTGTCAGAAGTGAAATACAACTTAAATATTTTATGTTTGTTTTTTGTTTTTTGTTTTTTTTTTTGCATGGGCTAAATCTCGGTCATTGATTCTCAAGCTGTGGGATGGGTACTAGCATCTCCTGGTGTATAAAAGTCAGCTTCAGGTTTATTAATTGATGTTTTAGTCTCGCCTGGTTGGAGAGAAGAAGATAAAGTTAGAGTTACAAGTTAATTATAAGTGCAGAACTGCCTGTGCTTGATATAAGCCCTTGATTAGTCTTAGATCTTTTGAGTAGTGCTTAAGTAGTGACTAAGACGTTTTTATGCACTTGTTTAGTCTTGTCTCTTGGCTTAGTCCCTGGTTATAAATTATAACTATAGAGCATCAATACTATAATAGACTCTAAATGGCACTACTGTATGGGCTAATATACCTATGTTTCTATCTGACCTGGGCATTGCCTTTAGTTACACTCCTGGTTTCCCAGTTACACAGACACAGCCCGCTGGCCCTTGGCTGTTATTTGAGCGTGTGTTACAACTGTCACCTGTGCCTCGGACCAATGAAAGCTGAGAGAGGCCATAAACTCAGACTTAACTCTGGACTGGAAACATTCAATACTGTAGTTAGAGCTATGTTTAGATGTGTTGAGACACACATGCTCTATAGGCGTATCTAATGCAGAATATTGTGATCTGGAGTGTTAAGTGCATGTGTTCAGGTGTACAGTAAGAGTGCTTCTGTTATGCTCTAAGGCAAATAAATCTGGGCTGTGCAATCAGATATCATTTTGTTTGAGTCTTGTCATTTACATTGTGATAGTTGGGAGTAAGTGTTAAATAATTTTATTTTGGTATTCTGATATATAGCCTAATCTTGTTTTGAGTTCATGTCCATGACACTGATGAAAGTTTAACTTAAACTTAATGCAGAACATAATGGGTTTTTTTTTAAACAAAATAACATATTGCTATCCCAAATTGTTAGTCCACAAACCTCAGTACAGCCCTATATTACAGTAATTAGATGCTACAGCATCACTTTGATTTTGTCACCACTAAATGGTCACATTAGCAGAATGGGGCCTATCAGATCCTTTTTCACGGAAACAGTGATTTATCTCCCAGAATGATTTGTTTTGTGGCCTCTTGCCGTTTTAAACGTGGATCTCTCGCATTTATTGATTAGATCATGCAGCACCCGGGTATTTTGTTATCATAAAGTAAAGAGACGGAACCTTGAAATTTGAAGCCTTCCAGGTGAACCCACAGACACAGGTCTTCATTGTCACAGTCGCAGCTCCAGGGATTCCCGCTGAGCCCCACGGAGCGGAGAGCTGGCAGCGCGATCAGTGACGTGATGTTGAGGGTTGTCAAGTTGTTGCGGCTCACGTCCAACACTTGGAGAGCCGCGTTTTCTGCAAAGGCGTCCGGGTGAATGTGTGAGAGCCCCGGGTTGTCTGTCATCCTCAGCATGACCAGACTGGCCAAGGGCCCAAACGTCCTGTCTTCTATGCGATTAAGTGTGTTAAAGGATAGGTCAAGATAGGCTAGTTTGCGTAAATTCCCAAATGTGGACTCAGATATTTCTGTGAGTGAGTTGTTGCTGCAGTCCAGATACACCAGGTCCGAGAGGTAGTTTAGTGCGAGCGGAGGCAGCTCCACTATCCTGTTGTTGGAGATGATGAGCTGCCGCGTGGCCAGGGGCAAATTTACCGGGAACGTGGTCAGGTGTTGCCCGGCGCATTGTACCACCAGTTGGTCATCACACACGCAACGGTCCGGGCAGCCCGTGGACAATACTGGGGACGTGGTCACCCCCGCGAGAAGGACCAGAAACAAGGCTATGAGCCGCAAGGGGTGCGCGCTTGGCTGCGGGGCAAGACGCATGACACCGCCGAGGGCTTCATCCACCCCGTTTGGAGAGAGCCAGATCCGTTCACATTCTTCATTGATACATCCTGCGCAGATTGTTTGTTTCAGAAATGGTTTCCTTAGAGGTCAAATGCGAAGTCAGTGCCAGCCTCTTGCGCGTAATGTCACTCCATGCTTGTCCTCATTCCAGTGCGCTTCTTGAACTTGACAACAATCTTAAAACCTGCTTCGGATGACATGATTCATCGGGTTTCCTCTATTTGATCTCAGCTCTACTCAGGATTTATACACCTCTTGTCTTCTGCTTGCACCACGAGTCGCCTCAGTTGTTCCACTACATGTTTCATGCTCTCGCTCTCTGAAACTGAATCCAAAGGAGGGGGCGCACTGAGCCGCGCGGCGGATGACAGTGGGGGTGTAGTGGAGTGATATCATACTTTGAAGAGCGCAGAAGACACTCAAGAGACAAACTAAACATGAACGTATAATGAATGAATGTATAACTGTGAGGGGTGGGTAATGCGTTAATCATATTATTCCGTGTGAATACCTAATTGCCTAATTAACTACTTTTAACTGGATCAATAAAAGAAACCACAGCACTCCCTGCCATCCTCACCATTTTTCAATGCAAATTACATTCTTGCAAGAAAAGACAATGTCATAGATTTTAGATGACATGAAATCTGCAGATAAACGTTTAACCATTTCATAACAGTGCCATCTAGTGTTAAAATCTAAATAATATCTTGAAAATGAAAAACTCACGTAGGCCTATTATTTAACCTAGCTGATGTAGTCAACATAAAGCAAAATATTCTAACTGTGGATCTCCCCTTTGCACTGATTTAGTTAGTCAGTCTATATTTTTGTTAGTTTGGCATGACATATAAGAAGCCACAGCTGCGTGCACAGAGTAGAAAAGCTGGTGCACCTGATACCTCTGCACCATGTTAATGTGCTCATTACATCACATGGGCTTCGTGGCTGTTTAGTGAGGGAATCCTACACACGCGAGGATTTACGTTACAATATCAAGCTATCCATGCATATTATATGGGCAGCACTATGCGCACCCAGTACTTAGCAGAAACCATGGGACAGGTTGGCCTTCACAACACATGTGGTCTGGTCTATTTTTGGATGAGTAGGAGCTGAAGTGCTGAATCGGACATGGTGAACATCCCTCTATCACCCTCACTGACCACACTCACTTTCACAGTCACTTTCACTTAATACTTCAACTTAAACTACTTATGTTTGAACTAATGCCTTTTACCAGCTCCAGGTTGACATCTAGCGGCCAAAAGCTGCACTAGACAAAAATATATAATGAACTGAAGAGACGTTGGAAATTTGAGTTTATCTTTATTTACATTTAGATCTATTTAATGTTCACTAGTCAGTATTATCAAATGTAAGCCAGCTTTTTAGACCAGTAAAATATGTGTTAACTAAAATAATATTGTTATTATTTAGGGTAGTTTTCTTAGGTCTTATTATCAAGATAAAAATGTGCTTGTATAGGGAAACTCATACTGTATCTGATTTAATTTGCATAAACACATATCTGATGTCTTCAGTTGCCACAACCAATATCAGGGTTTGTCTATTGTTCACAATTTATTAAAACTTTTAAAGGGCCCATACTAGATTATTTTCTGATCCATGTGTTTTAATTGTGTCTCCTCATCAAAATCATAGAGATGTGTTTTGTTTCACTCACACATGTTTAACACACAAACAATTCATATTTAGTTTAAGTTCTGTTTTCAAACTGAAAACACTCTGTTCCACTTTGTGATGTCATGTGGTAATACAGGAAGTGTTACACTGTGTTTTTAATCTACACATTCACTAGAATTAACTTGAAAATTATCGGTTAATGACATCACAAGGTGGAACAGAGCATTTTTGAGCTGTGGCTATGTAGACAGACTAATAATAAAAAGTAACTCAAACATGTGTGAATGAAACAAAACACAACTCTAGATATGTTTTAGATGAGGCAAAATGATAACATGGCTAAAAGCTCACAAGTGTCAGTTTTGCATGCTGAGAATATTTACTAACAGGGAGACAGGCCAATGGTCTATTTGTGGAATTTGCTGTATTTATTAAAAACAGTATTTTATTGCAGTGTAGTAATTTGCCGACAGCACAATTTCTATTAAGTTGTTTATAAAGTTACTTATCAGGTTGAACTTTAATTTAGCTGGAATAGTACTGAGTTATCATGCAGCCTACTTTGATCTATCATCAGTAGACTTATAAAGCTGGAGAGAAAACAGCACATTGCGTTTAGATAGGCTAACAGGCCAACAGACAGCCTACTTAGATAAGGAAGCAATAAACTATAGCGGACCTTTGAATCTAAAGGGAAAGAATTTCGCACAAACTCAAACTGAACACGCCCACCAGCTCTTACAAAAGCAGGAAGTAATACGCTGTTGAGCTGCGGAGACTGGTGTCCGACTCGTCTCACTGACTTTTCTCCATTAATCACAAACCAAGGTAACTGATACTGATAAAGAATTCCGTAGCATAGGCGCCGTTGTATGAATTTGATAAGGATTATGCACGCAGTCGAGTCTAAGTGCGTATGAGGGCTGCGTCCTTAGGTGACCTTACTGAAGTTGCCACTGATTTGTGCTTCTGGTGACTTGGTGCTACTGCTACGTTTCCAAAACCAGACCAGACGTTCTTATTTACCCGGGACAGTTCCAGTTTTGAGCCCTATGTCCCTTATCCCAGCAGATGTATCCAGAACCAGTGATTTGTATCAGTTTTATGCAAGAAATGTCCCTAGTGTCCCTATTTTTGACCAATCTGATCCCTGAGAGAGGCATCAATTGTCACTTGTTTACAATACAGAAAAGCTGCTTAAAAATGATCAAAACACAAAGAAAATGTGACTATACTGACTCACATTAGTGCTGAGTGCAGAACAAATTTCCTTAATTGTGCACTCGTTTCACAATTTTATTATTACCAACCAACCCAAACCAGGGATGTTTTTTTTTATTTTGAAAATCTGGTCACCCTACAAAAGTAACACCAGTTTTCCATAAGCAATACAAACTTAGATAAAATGTAGGCCTACTGCTTACAAAAATGCATGTTGCTTGTTTTGTTTTTTGTCATTTTTTTGAACAGTTCTCCTATTAGGTGTCCAGGATGGTTGTCCTGTCCAAGGAATATGGCTTTGTGGTGCTAACTGGAGTGGCCAGTATGGTCATGATGGGACACTTGGCTATCAATGTGGTCAAAGCTCGCAAGAAGTACAACGTGCCTGTAAGATGGGGGGAAAATACTATATCAAACTGTTGCCTACTAGTAGTTGTGCAACACTGATTTAACTGCATGTTTATGTCCCCAGTACCCCAAAATGTACAGTGACGATCCAGAAAATGGCAATCAATTTAACTGTATCCAGCGTGCCCACCAAAACACGTGGGTACATTATACTACTCAAATATTATTAATGTATAAGCATTTTTAACTATGTAACAAATCTCTTTTGTCACCTAGCCTGGAAATGTACCCCGGTTTTCTTTTCTGCCTGGCTGTTGGCGGTTTGCATTGCCCTGTAAGTTTAAATATCTTCTGTATTTTATTACACTCACTTATTTTGAACTGCACAATGCAGTACTATTATTGTCCTATACACTTAACTTAAAACTTGCTGAAAATATCAGCTTAACCATTTATTTCATATTACAGGTGGTACAAATTAAATGGTGTGCAACAAATTAATCACATTATACAAGAAAGTATTTTACTGGCAGCTATTTAAATTCATCAGTTGTGTGTCTGATGTTTTGTCCATTGCTTAAATGATTACCATTTGAATTGCAGCGTCTGGCCAGTGGACTTGGTCTTGTGTGGATAATTGGGAGAGAGGTTTATGCATATGGTTACTATACTGGAGGTATGTTGGTGATACTGTATGCTGCTATATATTAAAATCCTTGGTTATGATAGAATTTTAAAATGTTATTATTATTATTTTTTTTACTCAGATCCTTCTAAAAGAATGAGAGGAGGCTTTGGTAACCTTGCCTTATTGGGACTGATGCTGACCACTGTCAACTTTGGGCGCCACCTACTGGGCTGGACAGGCCCAAGAATTGGACCATTTCGTCGGGACTGTTGCTAATGAAGAGGCTCACAACGTCCTACTACAACGTCCTCAAAAGCACTTGATATAATGTATAATCATGTTGACATTTGACTAAGCACTTCAATATTAGTAATGGAATATTGCTGCTCTTGTGTAAGATTTTATACTTCCGTAAAAATACCACTAATTATACTTTTTTTATGAGTCTTTTTTTTTTTTTTTATCTATGGAGAAGTCATGTGGGACACAGTGTTAAGAACAGATAAAATGTGGCTTCAAATTGTAATTAACCTTTAAATCACATCAGATTGAATAATGCTCTGGAAAGGTTTAAAAACTTAAAACAGTAACACTTGCACTTTTAACATAATTTTATTATCAAAAAAGACCATCACTTTAAATCACAAATATAATTTGCTTTACATCAAACTTGACCTACATCGCTTTTAAGGCAACACTGGATAAAAAACTAAACCAAAGATTTTGCTCAAAGCTTCTGGTTAAAGCCATTCAGGAAACTAAAAACGTAGTACTAACAAAATAACTTTATGAACATCTACTTATATTACATGTATTAGGTTAAATGAAAAACAAGACAATATTCCAGTAGTACTTCACCAAATACTTTTGATGGTTATCTTAACTTACTGAGGAAAGTACATGTTTATCAGGTTATAAATTAACTTGATACTGGTAGGCTGCAGAACCACTGTGCTCATTTGTTAAAATCACCATTTTTTTCCTTGAAGGAAAGTTGGGCTCAAATGAAAACTGAGCTAGGTAAAACTTTATATCGACATATTTCTTTCAGCTGCTTCTTTTCAGTTAAAAAGTTTTGGACACATATTTTATGCATTTTCTTTGAACACCTAATGTCCACTAGAGGGCGTTATGGTCACGTCTGCCACTTTAAAGTGCCGTGCATATGTAATAACGCCAGTCTAGATAAGTCACACTTTCCTGACTGAACATTTAAAAGGGAATGTTAAATTGAAAAAACAAAACAAACAAAAAAACAGCAGAACTTAGTAGTTTCAATAGTAAAGCATCTATACATGACTAATGTTTTATGGTATCACTTTCACAGCGGATGTGCATGGAGCAAAAACACATCCATATGCTTAAATTATATCCTTATTTCCATCCCCTAGAGGTAAATTACAAGAGGCATCAATAGGTTCAATAGCTGTATCTTGAAAGAGGTGTGTCTTCCATCAAATCATCCTGCAAACAATGTCAAACACATCCAGAGATTTAGCAGAGATTTTGCACTCAGCGCTGACTCTAAAAGATAACAAAATACATTTTAAGTTTAATATCTAACATTTGTTTGCATAAAGGTGTATTGTGCAACTCTGGCGGTGAAGAGTCCATCAAAGGCTTTTCTCCACAGAGATGTTATTGCTTTGTTTGAAATTTTTCATAGTCTGGTATTGAACCTTTCTATCTTCACGGACTCCAAACCAGACCAAGTCACAGGTCAGATCTGTGTTTTTTTTTTTGGGGGGGGGTTTAGGTATTTTTGAGCTATACAACAGTCTGTAATTAAATAAATGTAAGGTAGGAGCTATTTAATATCATAGTGTGTAACATTCCAGGCAGAATTATCCATGGAAACAAGCACTTGACATTTGACATACAATATTTTTAACTATTTATTCTTATTATTATCTATGCTGCTGTTGACCTGGACCTGAGTGCAGTATTTCTTTTCTGTGTATTTTTTATACTGAAATGAGAAATTCATTTTGATTCTGATTGATTCTGATTTTGACAGACCCCCGACCAAAAAGCTACACAATGCACTTTTAACATCAACTATATCAAGGATAATAATGCCTATTCATATGAGTTGTTGTTTTTTTTCTCACCATTGGTAGATCCTGGAGCCGGTGAAACTCTGGGTTGCTGTTTTGATGTCGAAACTTAAGAAAAAGCACCACAAAAATGACTGCCGTGGTGACGATAAACATTGATAGAAGGCCAGCAAGCAGGGGGTCCAGAGAGCTGTGGCCATTCCCCTTAAAATCTGCAACAATCACATTTCAAAGACACCAATTTTAATATAAACAATGACATGACAAACTGTCTGTTACTCAGTTTTCACCTTCACTGCCAACATTGAGCTGCGAGGGTATCTCTTGATGAGTTGGCCTCATGATGCCCTGGGACCCTCCTGTAGTTGTCTGAGCAGGGGCTGTGATGGAGAACAAGACAATGGAGGTCCCGCCCAGAAAAGTGCTGGCAGGCTGGGATGAAAAGGTGTGTGCAGAGCTTTGAGTGGTCAATGATCCCAGTGAAGTTTGTGTGTCCACAGGGCTCTCTGAAGCTAAATTAAGGCCAGAGGTAAGACAATGCAATGTTGTTTCAAATTAAATTAAAGAATTATTTGAGGTTATTAATGGACATACAAAAAAAAATCTGCCCCTTGTATATGCCATGTATTGACTGATTTGTTGTAGACTCTTGTTGACCTGTGGCTTGATCAATGAACTATATGCATTTAAAAGTACAATGGGATACAGTTAAGCCAAACATGCCGGCTAAACAATTCATGTTATAGTCACCAAACAAAATGATCACTTTTTTCTTTTATGTTCAGATTTATTGTGTTGTGTGTACTATTTGAATTGCTTGAGAAATCATGAACTGTGAAGTTCATTAATGAGAATAATAATTTTATCATGGCTTAGGTAAACCTATCATCAGTGTGTGCTCAGCATAGGGCAACGTAGCAACTGATATCACCAGTTTCAATGAAGACGCAGTGTTTTCAATTAAATTCAGAATAGTGATGGAAGCCAAACAATTTGTTGCTCTCTTGATTACCTGTGGATGAAGGGACTGCACCTGCATGGGTTGTATATACAGGTGTTGTGGTTGTGTCCGTAGTAGACTCCTCTGTGGAGCTAAAAGCTGTGACTTCAGCTGTAGTCTCTGAGCTGTCAGTGACAGTCTGGATCGTTTGTCCATCACTCCCCAAGTCCTTTAAGTCCAGAGGTGCTGTTGTTGAAGTGAGGATTCGAGGCACAACACTTGTCTGGACTGTGGAGAGTGCATATTGTCATACAGGGCATAGGAGAAGTCACATCACACAATATTTCTGCAGTCAGTGTGGCATTTCAATTCTGAAATTACGTGAGTCTTTTTTTTTTTTTTTTTAATTCGTTGAATTCCCGTCAGGTCAGTTGCAATCTATACCAAAGTCATAACAGTCAAACTAAGCGCCATGCCAGCTCTGTCCACATAAAACAAAGTGTCCGCACCGCCACTTACCCCGTATCTGCGACGCACTGGTAAGGACCACCGCCACCAGGTACAAACAGGCCAAACCTAATCCCAGCGCCACTTTCATCTCATTGGCAGCCTCCGTCTTCCATGCGATAACTGCAGATCCTTCTCTATCTAGCGGCGAAAGCTCTGGCCCTTTTCTCTCTGATGTTGTTTCCGTTACGTGATTTCACAGGGCACATCATCACGGCTAAAAATATCCGGAGGGAGTCGGGCAGAAGAGGATCAGGGGAGGGGCAGCATTGCATGCTTTGCGCGCACAAATGGGGGCACAAAAGCGTGTGCCGTTTTGCTCGAAATCTCACCTATGAGGATTTTACATCTTAAACCGCTGAATGTTTTATTTTGATCTTGAGAGTTTTCTGTCAGATGCATTAATTTGCGCAAGATTTTGTTCCCGCCTTTGTGAAGACCACCGACCAATCAAACGCCAGTGCGTCAAAACGCAGTAAACTGCGTCAAGAGCGCTTGTTGTGGATTAGGCTAACTAAACATAAAGTTCGTTTTCTTTGTTTACCTCTTTATTTGTCATTTTGAAATGGGAGGCAAATAAGTAAATATTTTTTGTTGGAAATGTGAGAGCTTCTGTGGGGTCAGTGAGTAGGCACTCCTCAGCTCACATATGCTCTGTGTGAACAGCTGACCCGCTTCGTCCTTGTCACTTCTTTAGGACCCCTGTCTGGGACAGTTGAGTTTGATTGTGTCTGCTGCTCTGCTTTTAATTTGCCAAGCCTGTCTACGAGGAACTGAAAAGATATATAGGATATTTGCAGTTTTACGTATGGCGCAGCCCCTAGCCAATCCAGGGGACAGTCCGGGGAACCATGACTGGACAGTGGACAATGTGGAGTCGGTAAGTCACCTCTCTATAAGTCTCTCAAACGGCACTCAAGTTAACATGTTGTTTAGTCTTGTTTAACACAGCGAACACACTTGTGAACACAGTAAGAGTTCTACGATTGACACCAATAACAAAAATGGTATAACTCTCACAGGTTTTAAATGGTTTAAAACATGTTGGTTAATAAGTAGCCTACTATAGCCTTCTTCTGTACTATAACATACTATAGGCTATGTACTCATTTAATTGTGTAACTTCACACAGTTCACATATTATAATAACGCAGCTGAACAGCCACACCATAGCAGACAGACATAGAAGCCCACTATGGCTCAGAGATTTGTGGAAGTATGGCAAGATTTCTGGACTTTTTGTAACATGATGCCAGCTATAAGCATATGCTCTGCTAATAATAACTATTACTTTGCACTTTGGATTAGTTACTATGAATGTGTCTATTTTTAGTTCTTTGCCTAAAAAAATGTGAGTGAATAGAGATTATCATGGAATAGTCTTAGTTTTGTACCTCTATAGTACTCTTTGTGTGTGGCATATTGTCAAAGCAATATTATGTGAAAGGCATTGTTTATCATTGTTGCGTTGTGTATTAGAAATGTTTTATTTACATATAGTTATTACATATGTACATATAGTACATATAGATTATGCTGAATAAGTTTTAATCACATTGGTGACAATAGTTCAGTTAGTAGTGTTTGTCCACTGATCCAAAGGTTGGCTGTTCGAATCCTTTCTCAACATAACCATTGTTTGAGCAGTCAGATCCAGTGGGCCTCAGGCTGGTGTGTGATTCCATCTCCTACAGATGAATGCTGCTATTGTGCCCTTGGGCAAGGCATTTAACACACCTCACCACTAATGTCTGCATATACTGTGTATGAATTTGTGTGTGAATGGGTGAGTGGTTCCTTGATGTAAAGCACTTTGCTTGCCTTGAAAATGGAAAAGTGCTATATAAAAATCATTTTTATCGTTTACCATTTTCATTATTTCCAATGTATTTTCAACTATCGTAGGCCCTTTACCAGCTCTACTTTGATCCAGACATGGAGCATAAAAGTATGGCCCAAAAGTGGCTGACCCAGGCTCAGGCCTCTACACAGGCATGGCACTTCTGCTGGGCCCTTCTGGCTCCCAACAAGGTATTCAGATTCTATTGTGTATTACCTTTGATATTAGATGGCCTCGCCTGAAGTTGCTATTAAACACCACAATATTTAAGTACATTTATTGCAATACCAACAATCTCATCTTTATGTATACATGTAGTCCTAATGGTTAAATGCCTTATTGAAATTCCAGAAATAAACAATATCATATGTCATAACATGTAAATCATACTCATATATTCCTTTCGTCTATCCAAATCTCAGTGGGAGTATCTTGGTTAAATAAATGTTAATAAAATAAAGTCCACAGTACTCATGTACTTCTGTTTTCTCTTTAGATTCCAGAGGTCCAGTTTTTTGGTGCCAGTACTCTCCACACTAAGATTTCACGTCACTGGGGCGATCTCCCCTCTGAGCAGCATGAGAGCCTCCAGACCCAGCTCATGGCCCATATCCTGCACTTCACCTCTGGTCCTAAAATGGTCCTAACAAGACTGTGTGTAGCTTTAGCATCTTTAGCACTCAACTTAATCCCTCATTCTTGGGCTCAGCCAGTGGCAGACATGGTGAGGGCATTTGAACCTCAGAAACAGGACGGTAAAAGTGGTTCTGACATCAGCCCTGATCCTCAAGCACACTGCTTGGCTTTGTTGGAGATCTTTACAGTTCTTCCAGAGGAGTTCCAGAGCAGCAGGCTGACTCAGGCTCGCCGTGCTCAGCTGAGAGACGCCCTCATTGGGGAGTGGTCAGGCGTTTGTCCCATGTTGAGGCAGTTGCTCCAAAGCCAGGACTCCTCCACTCAGGTGAAGGAGAAGGTGCTGCGCTGTCTGTCCAGCTGGGTGGGTCTGGATGTGCCTCTGGGAGAGAGTTATGAGCTGGTGCAGGACTGTTTTGGGGCACTGTCAAATCCAGAGATTTTTGACACAGCCGTGGAGACCATTGTAACTGCCATCTCCCAACCAGACTGTCAAAGGTAGGATTATTCATTTAAGATGTGGAAATTATTAGAGGTAAGTATTTGATAGAGGGATTATTTACAGCAATGGTATGATGAAAATTTGCCTTGAAAGTATATTAGTACTCTTATATTATAACATGTATGAACCACATTTTTAAAACCTTATTGTAACATTGCACTAATCAGCATTACAAATATACAGTACCATTAGTCTCTCTGAACTCCAAATAAACCACTTCAGTGTTCATTCAAATAAAGATAGTGGTTAATAGATCAACCCAACAAATAATTGCTCAGCGACTATTTTGCTCCCGTATACACTGTATGCTGAATGAAATAAAATATGAGCTTTGTTGTGCAGATATACGGACGCTCTTTTGAAGCTGCTGCCCCTGGTCCTGGGACTTTACGAGCAGCTGAAGAAGGCTGCTCAGGACCGAGATATGGAGACCTCACATGGGATCTGCCGCATCGCTGTGGCTATGGGAGAGACACACTCCAGGTACAAAGGCACATTCATGCTTTATGGCTTTTTTATTGTTTATTATATGAATAATAACCCATAACATTATTGTGCATATGGCAGTGTCTTGCTCAATCAGGTGGACCATTGGCAAGAATACCTGTCCTTAGTGAACATGATCCTGTTTTGTACTGGGATGCCAGGGCACTACCCAGTCAGTGAGACCACCAGCTCTCTCACTCTCACCTTCTGGTACACCCTTCAGGTAGGATTTTTGATTTTAGATGAAATATTACATGTTTTTAATTGTTATTTCTTGTGTTTAGGATGACATTTTGTCATTTGATGAGGGCAAGCAGACTGTGTATCTTCAGGTGTATCGCCCAATTTACTTCCAGCTTGTGGATGTGCTGCTGCACAAGTCTCATTATCCGCCTCAAGAGGAATACGACTCCTGGGCGTCTGACGACAAAGAGCAGTTTAGAATTTACAGGTCAGACATTTTCATGAGGTACTTCAATTATGTGTGCATATAAAGTTACAAAAAGCTAACTATTTAAGGTTGCAGGGTGGACATCTCTGACACCCTGATGTATGTGTATGAAATGCTGGGCGCTGAACTACTCAGTAACCTCTATGACAGACTCGGGAGGCAACTGGTGGATCCCCAGCAATCTACTGAATGGCAGGTACCTGCGTAACAGCACTACATATTGTCACTTGTAATGATATAATCAGGTATATCGAGTTAAACTCCACTCTTCTAACACAAACTCTTTATCTTTAACTTCCTCTTCAGGAGACTGAGGCATTGTTGTTTGGCTTCCAGTCCATCGCTGAGACAATTGATGTCAATTATTCTGATGTTATTCCTGGTTTAATTGGGTTAATTCCCAGAATAAATATTAGCAATGTGATGCTGGCTGACACAGTTATGTACACAATAGGTAAGTGTCTATGGTATGTGCTGTTAGCTTGAGTGTTACATGAAAAATTTAAAATTTATTTTTTTATCCAGGATCTTTAGCTGAGTGGCTGGCGGACCACCCTGTGATGTTGAGTGGGGTATTACCCATGGTGCTTCAGGGCTTGGTGAAGCCTGAGCTGAGTGTGTCCAGTGTGTCCACTCTGAAGAGGATCTGTAGAGAGTGCAGACAGGACCTGTCCCCCTACGCCCGGGACATCCTGACTGTGTCCCAAGTATGTTACTTTCATTATTGACCTCAGTATATGTTAATATGTTCAGTGAATGGTATTGTGACATGTACACCCTTTGTTTTAGGATGTGCTGATGAAGAATATTCATAAGGTGAGTAGACAGCAGTGGCACTGACTTTTTCCACTAACATGTATAAACTTTTATTTGGCTTTGTTTTGTGTGTTTGTGTTCAGAGCAGCCAGTGCATGTGGCTGATGCAGGCTCTGGGTTTCCTCCTGTCTGGACTGCCTGTAGATGAGATCTTGGGCCACCTCAGTTCACTCATTACTCCACACGTTCAGCAACTGGGCACCCTGGCACAGCAGGAGGTAGACCAACACTGCCAAGGCTTTATGCAGATATAACATATTCACTGCATTAACTTCCATTGTCTTTTTAGCCTAATACAAAAATTAAAGAACCCATCATTCACATATTGGGAATGCTTGCCAATCTCTTTACCACTCTGGATGTTAATCAACAACATGAAGCTTTGGAAGGGTTCGCCAGTGTTGAAATATCACCTCTGCAGACAACACAACACCCAGTGCGTTTATTTTTCACACATAAATGAGTCAGTAATCTACAAATATCTTTAAAGCGTATAAAAGTATACCATTTTGTTCTTTATGTAGGTTGTGGTTGTGCTTCAGCAAGTGTTTGAATTGATCCAGACTATCTTGAGCAAGTGGCTTGATGACTCAGACATTGTGGAGGTGGGTTCTTCGGTGAGTTGTTGAGTGGCTGTGCATGTATGACTGGTCCGGTCTCCTCTTTAGGCTGTCTGTGGGGTTTTTGATAAGACAGTGCGGACCCTCCTACATGATTTTGGACCAATGGTGGCTCAGTTGAGTGAAATGCTAGGGCAGATCTACAGCGCCTACCCACAACCCTCTGCTCTAGACCTAGCACGTCAGGTACACCCCCACAAATCAAATCCTTGTGTCCCATTTGTGTTTACTAAATATTTTTATATTATATTTTAGATGGTACATATATTTGCTGGAGAGGAGAATCACATTTCAAACATAAAGTACCTAGTTCAAGTTTTATCCTCAGCAACTCTTGTATTGTTTCGAAAAGGTAAAGGCACAAAAGGGTAACAAAATAAGCATACTTTTTCCAATTTATCTTATAACTTTTTTTTTCTATCAGGACCAAGGGATCACCCTGATGTCGCAGAATCCTTTATGTACCTACATGCCCAAGTTGGTTCAACACATGTCAAAGTTTTATAAATTTATCTAAATATAATCTAACCATTCATTCATAATTTTAAACCACTAGATACTTAAAAGGAAACCAGAGATGTATCTTTCAGAACAAATGGACTTAAAATCTCTGTTTTACTGTGGTAAGTGTCATTATAATTTATCTTTCATACAGCATTCTAATATTTTTAAGCAATATGTATCTCTGCTGCATCCTTTTCAGGCATTATGTCATTTAAATTTCCAGAAACTCCTACTGTTAAAGCTGCCAGCCAATTCTTTGTGAGTGATTGAGAAATATTCATATCATTTTGCATTGTGTTGCAACATAACGTTTGACAAAATTTTTGCTCTCTTTGGCAGACTGAATTACTGAATCGCTATAAGGACATGCCACAGCTTCATGAGGTGTTGGAAATAGATGGAAAGATTTTAACAGAGACAATACTGGAGGTACTTTGTTCATTAAATATAATTATTTAAATATAATAAAATTATCTGTCATTTCTTGTTTTATGTGCAATGGTATAATGTCTTAATAGTGTGCAGTGTTTTATTTGTACATGTGAAAGGAACCAGTAGACAGAGTGTGCTAACCTAGAACATATAACTATTTGAGATCAGGTGAAATCTGTTTGCATTGCAGAGTGTAGGTGGAGGAGCCCCTCGCAGCCTCACTGATTATTTTGCTGAGGTCCTGCACAGTTTAAACAGACAGTGTCCAGCCCTGCTGTCCCAGTGGCTCACAGACACTCTGCAGGTGCCTGGGTTTCCCTCTGCTCATGTCGCCACAGAGCAGAAACACACTTTCACACAGCAGCTTTTGAGGTAACTGCTATATCTGGATTGTGAATGCAATATATGTACATTTTGTCATTTTAAATACTGATGGTTTTTTTTAGGGAGCAAAATAACAAGCGCCATGTTAAAGAGATTGTAAAGGAGTTCTCTCTTCTCTGTAGAGGTTTGCAGGGCTCTGGAAACTCAGAGTTTTAAATCAAGAAACCAACATAAACGTGTGTTGTTCATTTATGTGGCCATTTAAAAGACAAAAGTAAAAAGGTTTGTTTGCAGCTGCCATGGCAACTGTTATTGTTGAGATATTTATTGTTTGTCCTGGTTGTATTATAGTGTAGATCATTTTCATGTTATCAAAATATTTTAATACATATAATCAAGTCTTGTAACTTGACCATAATGCAATTTCTTTTGAATGTAACATAATTTTGGACTGTATAGCTTGCCTCTGTGGTACATATATTTATCATAAAACATTTATATTACTTCCACACAAGTCTTTACTGCCTTCTCTCTTTGACAGTGAGTGTGGTAGATTCTGGGGTAGGTTGAGACTGCATTGTTAATAACAAAGTGGTTTAAAAGTGTCTTTGTAGTGGCAGCAGTGATAGACGATCGCTTATAGCTCCAAACTCCTCCCGCTGACTGAAGGCCAACCCACTCCTACCGAATCCTTGTGAAGAGATTCAACACCGATTTTGATTCCTGAAAGCATAAAAACATGTCAATCTGTGTCTAAAATACCTTTAGCAAGTGATAGCAAATACCTTTGTGCAGCGTGTTTTATTAAAAACATTCCAGAAACGAAGTGTCTCATCCCCAGCACCTGTAACAATGGCTTCACCATCAGGAGATACCGCCTGCAATAAAGTAACAAATAAAATATGGGTGAAAAAGGGGTGATCATGAAAAAACTTCTTTTTTTTTTTATTAAAATGTTTATTTCTTACTAAATAAAGCACTCTGTAGGAGTGGCCAGTTAATTTGGCCACTTGTGTTAGTGATGGATATTTCCACACCAGAATCTGATTCTGTGAGTAGCCATGAGTGCTCACCTGTCATAAACACAAAGATGAAATATATTAAAAGTTAAATTAAAGTTAAGTTAAATATATGAGGTACATGAAGTATTCTCTCTTGAGTGAGATGAGAAACGGCTCACCAGTTCATTGGCGTGTTTGGACCAGGCCAGGTTGCAAACCTGTGAGCCTGTGTCTGTGCTCTGAAGGGCCTGTCCTGTCAGAGTGTTCCAGAAGCGAAGGCAGCGGTCAGCCGTGCCGCCCCCTGACGCCAGGAGCCCGTGTTGGTGAGGGGACCAGGCGATAGCCTTCACTGCAGCCAGGTGGTCACTGTACTGCTGCACAGGCAGGAGACTGGAGCTGTTCCACACCAGCAGCTGAGGAGACAAAAGAGGATGCAGCCCCTGGTGGATACGCTCTGTCATTACATTATAGGCATGCACATTTACCTTGTTGTCATTGCCCCCAGACGCCAGGTGCTGATGATCAGGAGACCATTTGAGACCGCACACCTCCTGTCTGTGTCCCTGAAGCCTTCTCTCTGCAGAGGCTGAAGGGGGGGTCCGCACATCCCGCTGCAGGATTACTCTGTCACGACTTCCAGATGAGAGTTGTTCTCCATTCCATGCAAGAGCACCTTGGAACATAAAAAAATAATACTTTTAAATATGTTACTTTTATTATTATTATTATATTTTTTGGTAAATCATGGTAAGTATGTCTGTACAGACAATGTACAGCAACTCACCTACACGAGCTGAGTGCCCCTCTAAACTAGTGAGCTTCCTGCCTCCAGCAGCATCCCAGATCTGAACATATCCTTTATGTGTTCCGACTGCAACTAGGCTTCCCTGAATGAGCAAGTCACTTTCAGTACATTACAATCTGTATTACTACTTTGTCACAAAGAGGCAGAATCTCACCCTTTCATTCCAGCAGACTGACGTAACAGAATCCCCATCAACTGAAAGGTCACATAGCCGTGTCACCTGAACTGACAAAATAAAGTTTTAGCCATAAGAAAAGGCAACAGTGCTCCTTTGTTTTATTTTAGGCACTGACCTGACTGGTGCAGGCACTCCACAGGTAGACACAGGCCCCCAGCCCCACACTGAGCAGGTTCCCTGCAGACCAGTCCACTAGGTTGAGGTAAAAGTCATCCTGCAGCTCAGGAGCATCTAGCACTTTAAAGGGGATTTTAGAGATCTTACGAGCTGGTTTTCGAGGAGAACGGAGTAGCTTGTGACTATGGAAACAAATACCATTTTGTTTTTGTTTTTTTGTTTTGTTTTAATAATTAAGTCGAAATGAACATTTACTTTGAGTAACTTTACCTCTTATTACTGAGTGGAGAAAGGGAGTATGGTGAGATTTCATTGTCACAACTAAAAGGCACTCTCTTTGTATGAACAGTGTACTGCAAAAAACAAAGTAAATTCATTACTTTATCAATATTTTTTAAAACAGTTCATTGGTAAAATTCCCAATCTATGAAATAATATAATATAGTATAAAAGAGTGCTGCATGTGATTACACACATTTATTACCTTGAAAAGACTATGGGAGTCTTGAAAAAGCACAGGGAGGTGCCTATCATCTGTATGAGGGTCCGGCACAGTTTCAATTCCTGCTCCAAGTAACTCATTCCTTAAAAGGGCAGCATAGGCCACTGCATCTAGAGAGTTAAAATAAAAAATGTTTTACATATGGGTACCTATATATAAAAAAATGGCAGCATAAGAGGAGATCTCACCTTTACTTGAGTCTGAACTTGCATCCTTTGCTTTGTGGTTCTGACTGGGAGAGCGACAGTTCTCCTAAAATGTAATAACATTTAATAGCAAGTTGATTACTTGTTTTTAAAACTATATTATTTGAAAGTGAGATCTTACATTGGCATAATGAAAGTTTATGCTCCAGTTGCTTCCAGCTCGTGTGGGAATGAAGCGGTCCCCAGACTTAACACTGACAGGACTACAGGTCGCACTTACACACTGTAAGGAACAAGACTTGTAAACATGACCAGTGTTTGACTCAGCCCAACACCCTACCAGTGAACTGCCTGAGATGAATTTAATACAGCTTAGGCCTATGTTGTGATGCTTTATTAGTTTAAATGTCTGAATTAAAATTCCTTATGAATGCATGTCTACTGTAGTCACTGTCATTACAGTATCTCTCAGTTAAATGTGCAGTGTTACTCACCTTGGTCAGGCGGGCTTCTTTGGGGATGTTCTGGTGGTTTATCTGTCGGAGCAGCCGCCTCTCGTACTCTTGGTCCATCTTCACTGTGCAGGTTAGCACCAAGGCCACCGCTGTCACCGCCCTCCCCTACTCACACCTCCACTCCCCCCGGTGAGGAAACCCGCTCGGGATTCCCATGGCTGATGAGAAAATAGTGAAACACTGACTGTCAGAGACCAGTTAAAGCTAAAGACTATCATCTTTTGCTTCATATTTATGACTATTAAACATTCCTGCACAATTAGTACGATCCCAGCTGCCCTATTTGTCTGCCATAGAGTCTGCGCACTACATGATAATACTGCATTATTAAACAGTGCGACTCACACATCTATCTCGGCCCTCACATATTTAGAGAGAAAATGAGGCCTGCTTTAAAATCGTTATCAAATGTCTTCACGGTGCAGCAAGGAAAGTCTCGCCGTTGTCATGGCATCATCTTTGCGCATACAACAACCATAAACCAACATCAGCCGAGCTCTCGATCAAGAGGAGTTTTACCAAACAAAGAGTGTTTTACCTAACAGACACGACGTCTCCAGTCTGCACTTAAAGGCCTGTCCTGTCAGTAACATAAGCGCCGCGGCAGAGGGACTTCTTCAGCGTAAAGGGACTGGGATTGACACAGCTCTGGTGTTGTTTATGTTCGTGACAAAGATGGCGCCTGGATCAGCTGCATGATCAGCTGGACCACAAATGACTTGTGCTGTCTGACAGAGCCAACAGCGCCACCACGAGGCAGTTATGATGCACTGTGGCGTGTGGCGCAAGCCTATTCCACTTTTGGCCTCGAGGGGTCACTGTGGGATTTCATTTTCTAATATGAACAGCCATGTCTTAAAAGTGCGCTATGTAACTTTCTTGGTCAGAGTCCTTCTTGCTTGCATGGAGATGTTACTGTTTTGTCTGGAATGCTCCACAGTATGGAGTCTTTCATTATTATTTTTTTAGGCTGATATGATCTTTAGCTCTTTCTCTAATATAGATAATTAGTCTATCAAGACTACAGATTAAATGTAAATTTGAAACTCCACTAATTCTTTCATAATGGCTACACCAACTGACAATTGGACCTTTCGATATTACAGCACTTTTTTAGTGGGACACTTCAGTAGGCAAAATGAGATGGTGGCTTGTCAGTCTAAATGGTTACCCTGATAGGTCCATTAAAAACTACAGGTTATATAAAACTTGTAAAACAATATGGGGATGTAGGCATAGCCTATACGGCAACTAAATAGACACGTCCTGCTTGGTCTCTTATAAACTCAGTAGCACAGTGCTTTTTACACAGTACTGATGACATTCACTTACATCCCATCTGCTTGTAAAGGCAGAGAGAAGGGGAAAGTATCACTAACGCGTTTTCCCCAACAGGCCAAACAAAGGCACCAGTTAATGAGCACGACTTCAAAGTAACTCTCACATTTGCCCTCACTAATGCTCACTTTTCAGTCTAGCTCAAAGAGAGTCTGCCAAAAAGGTAAAAGTTCACACTCTCTTCCAACTCCTTAATGTAGACTTTATTGTTGAGAGCAGCTGAAATACAATGAAATATGAGTGAGTGGCAGAGTGGCACTCATGGCCTCACATCAGTATGACAATAACTATGCATATCTGCATAAGATAAGTGCATGTTCTTAAGATGTTCTAATGCATTAAATAACGAAACAAATGCTAGATTAGATAGGTTTATTGCTTTAATGCCAACTGTGGAACATTTTAGGCAGAGCAATATAGACGATAAATGATAATATTGAAATAATAATAGATAATTCATGCCGCTGACAACTCATGTGCTAACCTTTAAACCTTTTTTTTTTTTTTTATAACCCTACGCAGTGCCATTGTACAATTTGAGCCATTGCAAACGCAATACTAGCCTATAATTAGGCCTACACATAGTAACTAACAAAATATGGGACAAAGACAAAGTCAAAACAGGCTTTCTAATCTGCATGCTCCATCAGATCTTCACAGGGGAACGTGCAGCCAGGCCCATGTTTAAGATGAATCATGCAGACAGCAAACGTCAGGCTGGACTTCTGTTTACTGTCTTCTTATCACGTACACAAGGCCTCACTGGGCACAGAGGAAGTTTGGTTGATTACTTTGAAACTTGTGATGCTGTAAACTGGCAAGATTTACTGTAATATACTGTTTACTTTAAATAGTGACCAATTTGGACATAAGAGACACAGATTACAGCTTTTGTTTGTGTGTGTTGCTAAACATACACATTACAAGAATGAGCCACATCAAGGAAAAAATATTTTTTCAGTTTGTACCTGGGTCAGTGGTCAGTAAGCAAGCAAATTTAGGGTCAAACTGAAATGCCTTGAAGTCTTTGTACTTTCCATCAATAATATTATGTTGTGTTATTGTAGCATAGTCATCCTGATTAGACTTTATTCACAGGGTTGTTCCCTTGACCTCCAGGACACCCAGTCTTGACACAAAGAGTCTCACTCTCGACCTTATCTCATGTCAGTGAGGACAGTATTGATGTGGACCCCAGTCACGACAAGAGAACGTGCCATCCAGCTGACTTCACACAGTAGGACTAGGCCGCAACATGGCCAAAGAAAATATTTGTCTAACATTACAACCAAGCAAAGATGTTTATTTCCTGTATTCAGTATTTCGAAGAAATCAGAAAAACCCACTGTAATGACTTTAGCTCCCTATTTTGTTAGACACAGTAACTGTCCACATATGAGTATGTAGATATAGATCTCTATTATAGACTGTAAGCCAACAGCTCATATAAGCAACAGTATTTCTGTGGTGGTCCTCCCACAGGGATGTACCCTTCTATCTGCCACACATCAGGCACAAGCATGCAGGGTAAATACCCTAAGGAGTCCACACAAATGCTAGCTTGGTGTAGTGTCCTTACAACAACCTGATAAATCTGGCTTGAT